AAGAAAGAAAGAAAGAAAGAAAGAAAGAAAGAAAGAAAGAAAGAAAGAAAGAAAGAAAGAAAAAGGAGGGAGGGAGGAAAGAAAGAAAGAGAGAGAGAGAGAGAGAGAGAGAGAGAGAGAGACTTGATTATGATGGGCAGAGACAGAACATAGTCAAGACGCTCAGTCAAGGGAAGGGGGTGAGGGGCCTCAGGCAGCAGCTTTAATTTCAGAACAACAAAAGAAGTTTGGAGAAAGACAGGTGGCAAAAGGAAATTTGCTTCTACAGCAGAACATTTTAATCATCATATTTACTCAAGAGAAAGCCTGATGTTAAGGGATCCAGCAGCTCAGAACAAAGAGAAAATAAAGAAACCACGAGAAATCAGGAGGAGGAAGAGGAGGAGGAAAATCCTTTTCTGAGTTCTTTCCAACAAGATAATGAGGGAAGGGAAGGGAGAGGGAGGAGATGCAGAAGGAAAGAGGGAAAGAGAGGGAAGAGAAGGAGGAGGAGGGGAAGAAGTGGAGAATGGTGGAGTCCTGCAAGAATATTGAGATGCAGAATCCTAAAAGTCCCACTGTTAGGTTTCCAAAAAATGCCCTAATTTTATAGTTACTATCACCTATATTTTGTGCAGAATAAATATTCTCTTGAAATTTGGGCAACTGACAGTTGCTTAGTTCATAAAGTAAGAGAGAGGGAGAGAGAGAGAGGGAGGGAGGGAGGGAGGGAGGGAGAGGGAGAGAGAGAGAGAGAATGTCCCAATGCAAGAGGCTTTAAGCAATAATTCTCCAAAGGTTTCCTTAGCTGTAAGCCACCTGGAGTCACCTCAAAGTTAGATGGGCAGCATATCAATAAAAGAAACAAATCAATAAATCCCCACTTTTGTCATAATCCAAATTATAAATTGATCATAAACTTTTGAGGATTGCTGTAGCCCTCCCCCAAGGCTTTCCCAGACCTTCCACCTTGTGCAACTGTTGTCATAAAGACCTCTAGGTGACAGCCTCCTGCTGGTCAAAGTCCTTCCTCTCAGGCAGGGCCTCCAACCTTGGCCACTGGAGGACCTGTGGACTTCAGCTCCCAGAATTCCTCAGCCAGCCATGCCTTCTAATGGATGCAAAGCCACCAGCAGTGCCCCTGCCCCGCTCTACCTGTATGGAGTGAGGATATTCAAGGGCGGAGGCTTATCACAACGCTGGTACATCTCCATCACAGGGTTAGGGATCGAATTGCGCGAGACCACCTGCTGATTCTGGATGGTAGAGCTCTTGAAAGCCTTCCGCATGTTGATATCCTGCAAGGAGACTGGAAACACAAATCAGGCGCTGTTTAGGATATGCTTAGGATCCTGTCTCATACACAAAACACACACACACACACACACACACACACACATGCCCCCCTGCAAAACCTGCTGAATATCCTAAAGGTGCTTTTTCTAGAGGCAATGGGACCTTCTTTGTTTTTCATTGAAGACATTTCACTTCTCATCCAAGAAGCTTCTTCAGTTCTGACTGAATGGTGGATGGAAGGATTTATATTCCTTGCAGTCCTCTGGTCATTATCACTCTTTCTGAGAGTCATTGAGGTCACTTACACAACCAATTGCACTTATCAGGTGATTCCAAGGGCCACCAACTCTCAGAGAGAGCACTAACGACCAGATGACTGCAAGAAATCCTTCTATTCTCCACCATTCAGTCAGAACTGAAGAAGCTTCTTGGATGAGAATTTTTCAAAGAAAAAAATGAGAAAGTCCAGCTGCCTCTTGAAGAAACACCTTGACCTGGATGATTGAGAATCTCTATAAACACCCTGCTGAATAGTTGATGCATGATATTGACAGTTATCAACAATTTTAAATGTGATTTTATTAATAACTGGTATTTAGTCAGCAGATGATAGAAAGCAGAAAGACTGTCATAAGTAAAAATCTATTATTATATTGTGTGCTATGCAGAAAGTTAGGAAAAAAATAAGTCTATATCATTAAGACTAAATAATTCACTAAAAGGTGGAGTGAGGGGAGAAGAATCTTCTTGCATCGACTATCAAGGTGGCTGGATTTTGCACACAATCTCAGGCAATGTGGTTGTGACTTACAAAGTCATCTTTGCCAGAAGATAATAAGGAGGGGGCGTGGGTGGGGATGATATTTCTCGAAGTGGGGATGAAATATGACTCAGACAGGGAGCAGCAGAGAAAAAGGCTAGGCTGAACTATAAAAATCTATTCAATCAGACCATCATCTCAAAGGGGCATTTTCAAAAGAAAACTGGACTTGTTTTCCCTTAAAGGTCTTTCACTTCTCAATTCTGACTGAATGTGGAGAATAGAAAGATTCATATCCCTGGCAGGCATCAGTTCGTTCCATCCTCCACCATTCAGTCAGAAGAGAAGAAGCGCCTTGGATGAGAAGCAAAACGTCTTCAAGGAAAAACAAAGTCCAGCTGCCTTTTGAAAAAGCCTCTTTGGGGCAACCAAGACCTGGATGACTGAGAACCTTCCTACATTTGAACACCACCCCCCCCCGCCCCCAGTACCTTCTTCCACTGTGGAGTCCAGCTGAGTGACCTTGATCACCAAAAGATCCACCCGTTCCTGCAAGGAGTTCATCCGCAAATAAAAGCTATTGGCTTCGTTGAAGAGTTCTCCAAAAATATCTTCAGCATGTCTGCCTGAGAGGAGGAGTTAAAAGAGAAGCCCATTTGAGGTCTGCAGAGATAGAGATGGCCTTCAAAAAAGGTTTTGGGAAACTGGGCGACTTTAAGATAAGTGGACTTCAACTCCCACAATTCCACAGCCAATGTGTGGGCTTCAACTCTGGCAGTTGAAGTCCACACATCTTTAAGTCACACAGGTTGAGAAACATTGTTCCAGATGGTATCCATAACTAGTACCGTTCCTAGTTTGGACTAATGGTCTCTCTAGTCAGCCAATCAGATACAGGTAGTCTTCGACTTATGACCAGAATTCAGCCCAAAATTTCTATTGCTAAGCAAGACAGTTGCTAAGTGAGTTTTGCCCCATTTTACAACCTTTCTTCCTACAGTTGTTAAGTGAATCAGTTGTTAAATTAGTAACATGGTTGTTAAATGAATCTGGCTTCCCCATTGACTTTACTTGTCAGAAGTTCGCAAAAGGGGATCACATCATCACTTCTGTGGTCATATGGCCAGCATGACTACATGTCGACTACATGTGCATGGAACGCTGTTACCTTCCCACCAAAGTGGTATCTATTTATCTACTCACATTTACATGTTCTTTAACTGCTAGGTAGGCAGGAGCAGAGGCAAGTAACTGGAGCTCGCCTCGTCACACGGTGCTTGGGTCTCAAACTGCTAACCTTCTGGTTGACAAGCCCTGCATCTTAACCACTAGGCCACCCTGCCCCCTTTAGGTGGGATAAGATCCCAGGAAACATTCCCAGCATTAACCTCTTCTCTCTAGAGATGATTCACTAATGTTTTAGAGGCACACGGGACCCCGTGTTTATACTCTGCTGGAAAAAGCCGTATGAACACCAGCCTTCAATACCAGCTGACCTTCAAATGCTACTGTTGGCTTTGCAGATAATTAATCAATGCAGATAGGCAATATAAATTCAGCAGAGGAAAAGTCTCCCTCCCTAATCAATGTGAGCAACTCCAATTTGTTCTGGGTTTCTGAACTCTTGGATGGACCTAGCGGGACAATTTCCAGTCCTTCGGAAAGCGTGAAACTGCAATAATTTCCTTTGTTGGTCACTTTGTCCAAGGAAGGGGATCAAAATGATGCACAGCACTGAAGAAAGGTGCAAACCTGGGGTTGTTCTTTTTAAACCAAATCACATGTGAAATAATTGTGACTTCTTACATCTCAAATCTTGCACACACCCACACACCCATCCCCCCATGTTGGGCAAAAGGCAGGTGATGCTATTTGTACTTTGCAAATAATATTGAGCAGCCGGGTGTTCATAGTCCATCTTAAAATGGGTTCAGGCTGCTGAGAATTTTTGATAGGTTATTTTGGAATGGGTTCAAAATCTAGTTCCTTCTTTTTCCAGTTCTTCTAATAAAAATGTTAAAAGCATCAATTTTATTTTATTTTTTTCTTGCAGCATCCAATCAGTAGGTAAAGTATAAGTAAGGGGAAAAAGAAAGTACCTAAAGTTAATGAGGAATATGGAGAGATGCACTGAAGTTTGATTCCATTTGGTCACCAGAGAGATTTTTATCAGTTTGCAGAGAGAGTAAACAACATTTTCCCTTTATTCTCAGAGCCATTTCTTGAGGCCTGTTTCTATTCGGAGTCCAGTACAGTTACGACCACAATTGAGTCCCAAATGTCTGTTGTTAAGTGAGACATTTGTTAAGTGAGTTTTATCCCATTTTATGACCTTTCCTGCCACAGTTGTTAAGTGAATCACTGCAGTTGATAAGGTAGTAACCTGGTTGTTAAGTGAATCTGGCTTCCTCCAGTGACTTTGTGAGAAGGTCACAAAAGGGGATCACGTGACCCCAGGACACAGCAGTGGTCATAAGTGTGAATCAGTTGCCAAGCATTCAAATGCTGATCACTTGATCATAGGGATGCTGCAAAGGTTATAACTGTGAAAAATGGTCATGTCACTTTTTTGCCCTTTGCCCAACTTTGAATGGTCACTAAATAAACTGTTGTAAATCAAGGACTACCTTTACGTTACTTTAGGCTGGTTACTGAATTAGCCCATTTCCTGGCCTGATGCAATAGACTGAACCAAAGACGTAGCCTCCAGCTCCCTAATCATCTTTGTTGCTCTTCTCTGCATTCAACATCTTTTTTATACTGTGGAGCCCAGAACTAGATGCAGGATTTCAGATGTTGCCTTACTAAGGCTTTGTAAAGCAGTACTAGAACTTCACATGTTCTTGATTCTACCCCTCTATTAATGCAGCCGAGAATTATATTTCAACTTGGTTGAAAACCATCCAGAGTTGCCTTTTGGCAGGATGGGTGGCATATAAATTTTTAAAAATTAAATTAAATAATTAAATAAAATTAAGATTCATGGAGCTGAAAGGGACTTGGAAACTCTCAATCCCAATTCCCTGGTGCAACTGCACCCTACTTCGGTCTGCTTTGACTAACGGGGGTGAAGGAGTTTGTGCGAAACCTGCCCACTTACTGAGGCTTCCCAACTGTTTAATGATGGCGGCCAAAGTGCTGTTGGTCACACACTCCAACTCGCTGGTCACCCCATCAGGAAGGGCCCCCCGGCAAAGATGGCGGGGCTCGATATTGCGTTTCACCAACGGCATCTTGGTGAGGAGTCAGTGGACCAAGTCTGTGATAAAGAGAAGAGAAAAGGTTTCATTTTCTTTCAAAATGTTACTTCCGAGGTGCCTTCATTAAGAACTGAACTTTGCAGAAATTTAATAAGTGAGGTCCTTAGTACTCTCTTGAGCTTGGCTGTTTTCTTGCAAATGTTTCATGACCCAACTAGGTAACATCATCAGTGCTAAAAGGGAGTGGGGTTTGCAAAGAGGAGAAGGAGAGGAAGGGGAGAAGAAGGAGAAAAACCATGGAGCCCTTGGTGCTCTCTGAGCTTAGCTGTTTTCTTGCTGATGTTCATTACCCAACTAGGCGACATCATCAATTTAATAAGTAAGGAGGGGAAAGAAAGCACCCAAAGTTAACATAGGAATAGGGAGAGATACATTCACGTTTGGTTACATTTGGGTACCAAGAAGAATTTTCATGAGTTTGCAGAGAGAATAAACAAGATTTTCATTCTATGGGGCGGCTGAGAGTCCTTTCTTGAAGACGTTCTCCAATTTGGAACCCAGTGCATTATTTCAGCTTGATTACTGATTGTTTCCTGGGTTGAGTGGAGTGAATGCAACTCTCACATAACTTATCCACCATGTTCAAAACAAAGCAAAGTCTGAATGCTGCTATTGCATCTACCAGGTTCGTAATTAGCTCTCATGCAACTTTGCCAGGTAGATTGTTTTGGGAGATGGAGACTGATCCCAAAATCAAAGCATGGATTTGGTAGTTGAGATGGGAACTATATCAGAGCTCTTTATCTCACCCAGGTTTTCTCAACCTTAGAACTTTTAAGACGTGAGGATTTCAACTCCCAGAATTCCCCAGCCAACCATGCTGTAGTTGAAATCCTCACATCTTAAAAGTTGCTGAGATTGAAAGGGTTGGTCTAATCTTTTCATCATTTTACATTACGAGCCTTCTTTTATTATGCATAAATAACAGAAACCAACAACCAGGAATCCGAGAGCAGGGTTTGTCCCCTCCGGCATAAAAGCAACTGCAGAGACAAATGTGATTCTAACTTTTCCTTTCTTTCTGTGTTGCTTGATCAGTTCCCAATCCTCCCCTCAGCAGGTTCTCAAGAGAATATTGTCCATCCTTAAAGGAAGCCCAGCTGCTTTGAGTGAGGAGCAGCATATAAATCAGACAACTGCCTGACCCACCATCCTTCACCATGGGCACCAGCTGCTGGAGCAATCTTCATGACTTCCTAGCAGGGGAACTAAAGCATCAAGTGGTGTCCAATTTCTTAGTGGCTTTAAAAGATGCTGAAGATGTTAGTGTTGGGAGAGCATTACAAATAGACCTTGACTTACAACCAGAATTGAGACCAGAATTTCTGTTGCTAAATTACACGGTTGCTAGGTGATCCATGCTTGATTTTATGATCTTTATGCCATGATTGTTAAGTGAATCACTGCAGTTGTACTGAGATCCATTACTAGTCAAAGAGGGTAATTGGTGGAACAGAAAGGAATCTAAAACCTTCTGGCTTCTGTTTTTCTACCTCATTCTCAGGCTCTTTAAGAGGACATAAATTCAATTTTGCATCTACTAAGATTGTAGGTCTACCAGGTACAAAGATAGCCAGGGAATTGATTGAAGTCTGGGAAACAGGCCTGTTATCAGTCAACAAGAGTGCTGATTTATCACCTGTTTATCAGGTATTTAGGAGCTGAGGACTTGGCAGCACAAGAAAACAAGAGTCAATGATTTAATAGCCAGCCATCAACACCCCAATCAACAACTAAAAACCCACACACAACCAGGCACCACATAAATGTTACACATAGAATAGCCCAAACCACGTATTCTGGTAGAGAGAAGCTCCCCAAGGATGGGCTCCAGTATGAATCTGAAAGCTCAGAAAACTAAATCCCAGATGGAATCCTGCTTAAGAGCATGTTTCCATTTTCTCTTGATAGTCTTTTTGAATTGACTCTCATCGGAGTTTGGAGAAGGTACAGCTATTGGGGCTAATGCTTCTGTTGGACCTCTGTCCCTCCTGGCTGCCCCAGACATTCAAACTAGGAGAAAATAATGGAAAACTGGTCCCCCCCCCCAGTATTTTCTTGGAATTCAATGGAAGGAGAAGAAACCACGGAGGGAGATTACGCAAAGAAAGACGGCATATTCACCCATGAACCCTGGTTGCCTTGTCACCGAATACCAAAAAGGTCATCCTTCACCCATAAATATTTCATCCAGATAATCCTGTCATATAAAAGAAGTGCTGAATGCAGGTTCTCTAGCTTCACTGATGAGGTGGTAGAAAGATGGCGGGAAGATTTTTGTGCCTGAAATTTTCATAAGCTTGTCTGATCTTCTTGACCTTTTGATCACTTTGATTTAGGAGGAAAGATGTCCAATGTGAGGGTGCTCTCCGAACTTGGTTGGTTTCTTGCAAGACATTTCATCACCCAAACTAGGTAACATCAACAGCACTGATTATTAGCACAATGGCATTGATGATGTTACCTAGTTTGGGTAATGAGATGTCTGGAAGATAACAACCAAGCTCAGAGAGCATCAAGGACCCCTCATTTCAACCCTGAGCCTCAAATATTGATCTGTATTGGAAGGAAGCTCTTCTAGACCCCTTATCAAGGCTCTTCTTCTCTCCTACCATCTGACTGTCTTCTGGATTCCACAGATGGGCTCCCAGGCCCCACAGGGACAGGAAACACGCAAGAGGCTGCATTTAACGGCCCACTTGAAAGGAACTGGAACAGCTGCCAATTAATAGGCCAGCTGAAGCCCTTTTCTGCTCTCAGGGAGTCAACTTGCCTGTTCCAATCCAAAAAGAAGAAAAGAAATGGAAGTACCAGAAACAACCAACCAGATGAATTCTGAGCTCCATCCTGTCCCAACGGAACTCTGCAGAAAGACCCCTAGAATTTTGACCCAGGAGATTTCATGACAACATAGAGAGATCATTTCCTTCCTCCCACTTCTATTCATTAAGCAGCCGGAGAAGGAAACCAGCTTTTGGGAAGTGGCTGATGGAGCTGAATGCAGAGCTACCCAGCTGGGCCTCATTGAAATGCTTCTCTCTTTCAACCTTTTCCAGAAAGCTGCATTAGGCATGCTGAAAATCAGGGGCCTTTAGTTCTGTCAATAGCTAAGCATAGAAAGGAGAGCAAAATGATGCTGGCCTTCCTTGTAGCTTAGGAGACCTGGTAGCTGATGCGTGTGGTCTTTTCTTGGGATGTTACAGAAGCCCACCAGCACAAAGGATACCATGATCCCCATATAAAACAGCTGAACCTCTGGTTACAATGAAGGAAATGATTCATCGGTTTACAGGCAGGCCTCAAATTGTGAGGCAATGGAGAACGTTAGAAAAAGTTCCCCGAGGATGTGCTCCAACACAAGTCTGAAAGCTTGGAAGACTAAATCTCTGGTCCCAGTGACCGACCCAGGTTGGATCCTGCAGCATTATCCTGGGACAAATATATTTGTAACAGAGACTGCTCATCATGGTTTTAAGTTGTGAAGTTGTAAAGCAGGTCAATCATGTGACCAACTCGATTTTATGAGTTTTCATAGCAATAGCACTTATATACCGCTTCACAAGGCTTTCCAGCCCTCTCTAAGCGGTTTGCAGAGTCAGCATGTTGCCCACAACAATCCTCGTTTTACTGACGTGGGAAGGATGGAAGGCTGAGTCAACCTTGAGCTGGTGAGACTCAAACTGCTGGCAGTTGGCAGTCAGCAGAGCTAGTCTGCAGTACTGCATTCTAACCACTGCACCACCACTGTGCCTGAAGTGAACATCACAATTGTAAAATGACATGCTGCAGATCCATGGTTTGCTATGGGCCAGTTTTACGGTAAACAGAAAATAAATGCAGTTTTTTTGGCAAAACTGTCATAAAACACAATCACGTGACCATGGGGCACTGCCAATGGCCGTTAATGTAGTCCTATTGCTGAGAGCCAGAAATGTGGTGATGTGACCAAGGGAGGGTATTAACCATTGGAACTTCGAATCTGGATTTAAGTGTCAGGTCCAAATAACTGGTTATAACAGGGATTGAGTTGAAAGCACTTTCTTTATTACTACTTCCTACACACAAGAATCTGTTTTACTAATGGTCAAGGCAAACCTCTGTGGATAAGAGTCAATGGAATTTAAGGGGGCCTGGACTTAGGTCCCTAGTGGGCACTCCAAACCACTGCCTTTTGTGTGCACACTGAACTGGCAGTAATGCAGGGAGCAACCCACCCCTGCCCAGAATTATGTGATCACCTTTTGCAACTTCTGACAAGCAGTCAGTGAGGAAGTCTGATTCATTTAACAACCATGCTACTAACTGAACAACTGCAATTGATTCACTTAACTGTAGCAAGAAAGCTTGGAAGGGACCTTGGAGGTCTTCTAGTCCAACCCCCTGCACAAGCAGGAAACTCTAGACTATTCCGGACAAATGGCTGTCCAAACTCTTCTTGAAACCCTCCAGTGATGGAGCATTCACTGCCTACTGCATGTAACAAAGGCCACAGGTCAGGACCTTCCTGTCTCCTGCAACTACTCCTCAGTAGGGAGACAGCTTTCGAAGGTAGAACATATCTAAGAGTTACTGAGAGTTTTTGTCTCCATAAATTGGTCTTACTCCTTGTACAAGTTACTTTACTTCATGCCATGAGAGTGAATTCAAAGACGGACGACATCGAAGGATTGATTCTGAGAAACTGCAGTTTTTGAGAAGTTTGGCCTGATTGTGTTGCGCTAATAATCTTCACCAACATTGTTTTGAAGAACCTTCTCAGTGAAAACATCAATCCAGCAGGATGCTAATCCATGGCTTTCTGCTGACAAACATCCAAGTTTAATAGTTTTAAATACTTTTTAACAGGAAATCTTCACACCTGGACATTTAGCAGCAAAGACCTGAAGAGTTTCCTCCCGCAAAGCAGTTCATCTTCAGGTTTACCTTGAAGGTCTCATTAGCAAGTCGGCATTGGAAATTGCACATTATGGAATGGCTGATTAATTAACACTTGAAGCTACTAAATTAAATGCAGGCATTTGGATGAAGAGAGGAAGAACCGCAAAGGTAAGGTGGGGTCAGCATCAATGAATTCACATCACTCCTGCTGCAGAGCATAAACAAAGATGCTAGAAGAAGAGAACTGTCCGGTGATTTTTCAATTAGCAATTGTCCTACACAGCATTTTGGCTAATGCATTAAACAAAGAAGGGAGAGAGAGAAGGTGAGAGATAGAGAGAAGAGACACATCTGTACTAAAAGAGATTTGTTTGTTCTTTAGGCTCAGAGAGCATAGAAAGTAGCATCTCAAGGTAGCAAAATTAAGTAAGAATTTGCAAATCAGGCAATGCCTTCACATGAAAGAATCAGATTCCATAGCAGATGTAGGAGATGAAGAGGCTGAGCCTGAGGGAAGAGATTTAAGTCCAGCCCACCTTGAATGCCTTCCTTATCTCCCACTCATTTCCCTTGACTGCTAGTTGGCCAGATTCTTGTAGAAGCTTAAGCTTGCAAAATCTTTATATTCCTTTGAACTGCCAGAATCTTCTGATTTCCCCAGTGCTTGACAGCAAAGCTCATGTTTTGTATTAGAAACAGAGAAAAATACATATGGCATGATGGTATGCCAAGTGCCCTTTAGAATTGGCTCTGCCCAGGTAAGTCCTTGGTAAGCCATTAGGGTATTATTTTCTGGTTGACTATTTGTCTGGTGTTAATCTCTGCTTATCTGGATGTTGGCTGCTGGAGGGGATGTGTTCTATTCTTTTTATTTTCTTTCTAGGTTTTATTCTTATCTCTTTTGAATGCTGCGCAAATGTGGTTTATCCCTTTTATGTGTCTACTGATGACTAATTTGTCTGAATGCCAAACTTCCAGGAATTTGATCTTCTTTTTTGGATTTAGCTTGCTTTAGGAGGCTCAGTTTCCCAGCTGAAACTGTGGTTGAATTTGTCCATGCTTTGTCAGATGAAAGAGTTAAATGCCTTCTGACAGCCAGCTGGCATTTGTAAATCTACTTTGCTAGTCTAGTCTAGCCTCTAATAGGTTAACAGATGTGTTTTAATAAAAATGCTTTCCTGTGACAGATTGCAAGTAAGGCAGAAGAAGAATGGAGAGGAAATGAGATATAAATATCCAAATGATAGCAGGGAGGCCTATTAGCTTATCTCCTAAACAAGAACTTAGTCCAAGTGGTCAGAGACCTGGAAGAAAAGGCTTCACAACCCTCTGAGGAGCCTTTAAGGTAATCTTCGGCTTTGCAATTGAGCCTCAAATTTCAGTTGCTAAGTAAATGTTTAGATGTTTATTAACATTTGTAGGCCGCCCTTTTCCCTGAGGGGACTCAGGGCGGCTCACATAAAATCAGGGAGGGGGAATACAAACAATGACATAGACACATATAATAAAAGTAAAAAGCAACATACATTCATCATTCGGGAGGGGCGGCTATCCTTGTCCCCAGGCCTGACGGGCTAGCCAGTTCTTAAGGGCTGTGTGGAAGGCCTGGACGGTGGTGAGGGTACGAATCTCCACGGGGAGTTCGTTCCAAAGGGTCGGGGCTACTACTGAGAAGGCCCTCCTCCTTGTAGTTGCCAGCCGGCACTGGCTGGCCGATGGAATACGGAGGAGGCCCAATCTGTGAGATCTAATTGGTCGCAGGGAGGTAATTGGCAGAAGGCGGTCTCTCAAGTAAGACAGTTGTTAAGTGAATTTTGACCCATTTTACCACCTTTCTTGCCAGTTAAGTGAGTCCCTGCAGTTGTTAAGTTAATAAGATGATTATGAAGTGAATCTGATTTCCCTATTGACCTTGCTTGTCAGAAGATTACAAAAAGGTGATTACACAATCACTTCAACTGTCATAAATATGAGTCAGTTGCCAAGCATCTGAATTTTGATCATAAGACCCTGGAGATGCGGCAACCATAGTTAAATGTGAAAAATAGTCCTAAGTCACTTTTTTGTAACCTTTAGCAGTCACTAAAGGAACTGTTGTAAATTAAGGATTACCTGTCGTGCAAACAAGAGTTGGAAATTCTCCTGACACTTACCAAGGTTTTGCATTTAACCCAGACTAGCATTAAAGACACTGAAGCCTGAGCAGTCCATGATCTTGCCCAGTTGAAGGGAAGCTTAATGGATCACTGCTCCCCAATCTTTTTTTTCTCCTCCAAGGTATCAGAGCCTCCTCTTTACTCCTCCTGTGACCCTCATCTGCTCCTCATTCTCAATTTAAGAGCTGCAGGAAACAGGAAACGGCACAGACATGTATAGGGGCAGGCATCAAACAACAATCAGAAAATAACAGAACAGAATAACAAGAGTTGGAAAGGACCTTGGAGGTCTCCTAATCCAACCTCCTACTCAAGCAAGAGGCCCTATACCATTCTGGACAAATGGCTGTCCAGTCTCTTCTTAAAAGCCTCCAGTGATGGAGCTTCCCCAATTTCTGAAGGCAAGCCCTTCCACTAGTTAATTGTTCTCATTGTTAGAAAACTTCTTAATTCTAGGTTGCTTCTCTCCTTAATAGTTTCTATCCATTGTTGTCTTGCCTTCTGGTGTTTGGAAAATAAGTTGATCCCCTCTTCTTCGTGGCAGCCCCTCAAATATTGCAACACTGCTATCACTGCTACCTGTCATTCTTCTTTTCACAAATTGGACAAACCCAATTCCTGCAATCATTCATTCTATATATTTTAGCCGCTGGTCCCCTAAGCAATAGCAATAGCAATAGCAGTAGACTTAAATACCGCTTCATAGGGCTTTCAGCCCTCTCTAAGCGGTTTACAGAGTCAGCATATTGCCCCCAACAATCTGGGTCCTCATTTTACCCCCCGGGGAAGGAGGGAAGGCGGAGTCAACCCTGAGCCGGTGAGATTTGAACTGCTGAACTGCTGATCTAGCAGTAGCCTGCAGTGCTGCATTTAACCACTGCGCCACCTTGGCTCTTTGGTTACCACCTTGGCTAAGCATCTTTGATGCTCTTTTCTACACTCTTTCCAGAGCGTCTACAGCTTTTTTATAATATGGTGACCATAACTGGATGCAGTATTCCAAGTGTGGTCTTACTAAGGCTTTATAAAGCAGTACTAACACTTCACATGATCTTGATTCTATCCCTCTGTCAATGCAGCCCAGGATTGCATTGGCTTTTTTAGCTGCTGCCGGACACGGCTGGCTCATATTTAAGGGATTGTCAACAAGAGCTCCAAGGAGTGGGAAGCAAACTTTCTCAGTAGGACCAACAGAAAGTGTCAAGGCTGCTTCGCTCAGTAACCAAGAAAGAAACCACTCAACTCCATTTTGTAGAATTAAGAGTACTTTTACTGGTCATGACTAGATAGTAGCTAGGCAAAGCAAGGTCTGAGGCAAAAGCGTGTGCAAGCATAGATATCAATATGTGACCCAACCCCCTTCCCCTAGTAACCCCAGCCAGTCCAATCAGCACACCCCACAGGTGTCATGTGGGAGACGTCTTCAAAAAGCATCATCAGGCTGGTATGTCGAACAGTTGGCCTCGCGGCAAATCCCTTATCTGCAACATGTGCAGTAGATGGTGAGAACACCTCCCTTTATACAGTCACTCCTGTGCTGACACTTCCCCACCCACATACAATGCCCCCACCTCCCAGTTTCAATGGCAGCCGAAAGCAAGCAGCAAAACAGAGGCTGACATAAAGTATTTTTCATGTTTCAACCTTATTTGACAACCAGGACAAGCAGGCGCAGCTGCAGAAGGAATGGACAGGCTCACACTGTGATCCTTGCTCCAAATCATGCAGAGCACCATTTGACCCCGAGGGAGCAGGTGAAGCCATGGGAAAAAAATGTGGGCAGGTTGACTCTGCATCTCAGGGATCTCTTGGCAGGCTGGAATTGGGGAAAAGAAATTTCATCCCAGCTTTGCAGGCTGCAGCTTTCTCGTCAATGAAGAAAAGGGTCCATTCACAGCCTTGCAGCAGAAAATATTTCCCCATCTGGATGCAAACTTCAGTCACAGCCAACATCTGGAGCCAACTCCATTGCCAAGCCGCAGGGTTGTAAAGCAAGACGTCACACAACTGCAATGATTTACAATGGCAATTGCAACTGTTGCGGTTGCTGGCATTAAGCAGGATGTCACATGATCCCCATTTGCCCCTCCAACCAACTTCCCCACTGATTCTGCATTTGGAAAGCCAGCAGGAAAGGTTGCAAATGGTGACTAAGTGACCATAGGATGCGCAATATCATAATTGTGACCTAGCTGTTGAATATCCACATCACCATCATATGACCGCAACAGACAGTGACGACCGCAACTGCAAGGATTAGTTATAAGCAGTGATGGGTTGCAGGTGGCACGCCCGCGGTATGGTGTACTGGTGCCTGCCTGGAGCACCGGATACCGTTCCGGTACAGTGCTCCAGAGGGCCTGCCCACCCGAGCTCCTTACCTGTATTTAAGCCCTTTCCACACATGCGCACAGAGCACACAGCGCCTGCACAACACTCTGCTGAGCAGCTGGAGTGTCACGCAGGCATCGCAAGAGGTAAGGACGCATGTGCATGCTGCGCGTGTTCATGTGGTGGATGCCGGGTCCCACTGCAACTGTACCGGTTGCAACAGGATCCGGAACCCAGCACTGGTTATAAGTCTCCTTGCTCAGCACAGTCCTAACTTTGAGTGCTCCCTGAAGGAGCAGTCATTCAATGAAGGACCACTTGTGTACCTAAACATCAAGGAGTTGCAACACCCATGATCAATCTTGCCTGGGCCGACTGCATCGTTCAAACATTGTCTTGAATCCTAGAGACAAGGAACTCAAGGATGCATCCCAGGGAATTGCAGTAAATTATTTTTAGTTGTTTGTTGAGTTGTTTAAGTTGGTGGAAGCCAAGATAGAAATGGGAACGACTTTTCATCTACACAAACCAAGCAGCTGAGAATCTGGGAGCTTCCAAGACTTTGTAGCATTCAGCTTTTTTAATCTGCTGATAATCCTTAGGATGACACCGAGTTGTATATCATCAAGGACGGCACAGCTCCCTCACTCTTACTTTCCTTGTGTGTTTCTGTATGATGTGCTCCAGTTGATCTAAATTCACAGAGGATGGCAGGTGGAGGGAGTTGGGCAGCAGCATCTGCAGCAAGCTAGGATGATGCTAAAGTGACAAGCGCACCATGATGTCACACAGAGGGCACCTTCACCCCCTTAAAATGGGAAGCGGCAGCTTTTATTTTATATATTTTTATATCGTACCTTTGTTACTTTTAGAAATAACTATCAGGATGATGGACAAACCTAATACAGGCAGTCCTTAACTTACAACAATTACACCCGCACTGAAAAAAGGGGCTTATGACCGTTTTCACACTTACGGCCGCTACATCATCCCCAGGGTCACGTGATTAAAATCCAGGTGCTTGGCAGGTGGTTCATATTTAGGATGGTCCTGTGATTTTATAACCATTTCACAAGCAAAGTCAATGGAGAATCCCCATTCACTTATAACACCTATGTTACTAATTTAACAATTGCTGCGATTCATTTAACAACTATGGCAAGAAAGGTTGTAAAATGCGGCAACATTCACTTATAAATGTCTCACTTAGCAACAGAAATTTTGTGGTTGTAAGTCGAAGACTGCCTGTACTCCTTCATTTTCCTATTTTCTCCACAACAACCTTGTGAGGTGGGATGAGCTGAGAGAGAGAGTGACTGGCCCAAAGTCACCCAACCGGCTTTCATGCCAAAGGTGGAACTAGAACTCCCCGTCTCCTGGTTTCTATCCTGGTGCCATAACCATTAGACCAGTGTTTCTCAACTTTGGCAACTTGAAGATGTCTGGATTTCAACTCCCAGAATTCCCCAGCCAGCAAATGTTGAAATCCAGACATCTTCAAGTTGCCAAGGTTGAGAAACACTGCATTAGACCAAATTGGCTTACATCTACGTAACAGTGACATCATCCATGTGGCCTCATATGCTCCGCCCATCGCAGGAAACTTCAGGTAGTTCAGTCTCCAATGGACTATTTTTTCCCCATTCTCTGTCCTGGGAATTTCCATTCAGTGTCATTTCTTAGCTTCAGGTCATCAAATTATGAGTTTGTTTGATCCAAAAGCTGCTTGCAAACAGGAGAGGGCACTGTGTTTATGCCTTCAAATCTTATGGGGCTCTTATTCTATTCTACCACTTTCCTTCTCGGGCTGAAGAAACTTTTCCCACTAGAAGCAAAATGAACTCTTTGCTGGAACTTGTTGAGTCACTCTAAGGCAGTGATGACAAACCTTTTTGTTGTTGGATGCCAAAAATGTGAGGGTGTATGTGCGATAGCGTGCACATGACCGCAAAGTGCACTCCCAGATGTGCATGATGCACAACTCCCCCCAAGCTTCCCTCCGCGAGCTGCACTGGCTGCCCATTGATCTCCGGATACGCTTCAAGGTGCTAGTCGTCACTTATAAAGCCCTTCATGGTATTGGACCTGGGTACTTGAGAGACCGCCTGCTGCCAATCACCTCCCAAAGACCCATCAGATCCCACAGACTAGGCCTCCTCTGAGTTCCATCTACTGGCCAATGCCCTCCCGGAGGAGGGCCTTCTCTGTGGCAGCTCCGGCCCTTTGGAACGAACTCCCCGCA